AGCACTTGACCACTAAGCCACATCCCCAGCCCTATTTTTTTGTTGTTGTTGTATTTTATTTAGAGACAGGGTCTCACTGAGTTGCTTACTGCTGTACTTTTGCTGAGCCTGGCTTTGAACTAGCAATCCTCCTGTCTCAGCCTCCCAATCCGCTGGGATTACAAACGTAAGCCATCGTGCCCGGCTTTGAGTTAATTTTGTAACTAGAAAGAGACAAGGGTCTTGTTCTTCTGTATGTGTATATCCAAGTTTCCCAGCGCTATTTGTTAAAATAGATATTTCTCAAAATAAGACAAATGGACAAGAGATATATGAAAAAAAATATTTAACATCACTAATCATCGGGGAAATGCAAATCAAATCCACCAAGAGATAGTACCTCATTCTAGTAAGAATGATATTATCAAAATGACAAAAGATTAACAAGTGCTCCTGAGGATGTGGAGAAAAGGGAGTCCTTTTCACACTGCTGGTGGGAATGTAAATTAGTACAGTCGTTGTTGGAAAAGAAATGTAGATTTTTCCAAAAAATAAAAATAGAACTGCCATCTGATCCAGCACACTCACTAATGGGTATATAGCCAAAGGAAATGAAATAGGTATGTCAGAGATACCTCTAAGCCCAGTGGAGTGGTGCATGCCTGTAATCTCAGTAGTTCAGGTGGCTGAGGCAGGAGGATCACAAGTTGAAAGCCAGCCTCTGCAACTTAGCAAGACCCTGTCTCTAAATAAAATATATTTAAAAAGGCTGGGGCTTGGGTTATGGCTCATTGGTAGAGTGCTCACCTAGCATGTGCGAGGCCCTGGGTTCAATCCTCAGCACCACATAAAAATAAATAAAATAAAGGTATTGTGTCCAACTACAATTAAAAAATAAATATTAAAAAAAGGATGCTGGAGATGTTGCTCAGTGGTTAGGCAATCCCTGTTACCAAAAGAATGGTACATCTGCACTCCCAAGGTTATTGCAGAACTATTCACAATAGCTAAGAAAAGTATCAAACCTAAGCATCCATTGACTGATGAATAAAAGAAAATGTACATAAAAACCATAGAATATTATTCAGCCATAAAAAGACAAAACTCTGTCATTTGTGACATGGATAGAACTGGAGATCATTATATTAAAGTGAAGTAAGCCAGGCACAGAAAGACAAGTACCACATAATCTCACTCATGTCGGGTCTAAAAAGTTGATCTCATAAAAGTCGAATTAGGTTTGGACCAGAAGTTTTTATGTGCCATTGCACAGGAGGATGACTATGGATAACAATAATATGCTGTGTACTTCAAAAAAACAGAGAAAAGGCATTTCAATGATTTTCTCATAAATAAATAATGAGGAAAAAATTCAGTTTAACCTGATTTAAGCTTTACCTAATGTATAAATACAATGAAATATAATTTTTATACTTTTGTATAAATTAAAAATAAATTTAAATAATTTTTTAAAGAAAAATTCTCCCTTGAAAAAAGGTTGGCATAGGAAAGACAGTCCTGGACTTTAGATTTTGGCTTATCACCATTGACAAAGACTCTATTCTTGACCAAACTTTAGTCAGGCTCCTTTGAGCACTATTCTCAGTTAGGCCTCAACATTGGCCTATAAGAACTACAACTGTTAGCACAAACAATATCACCACTACTCGCCCCTGACTCCCAGCAAACACTCACTAAGAGACTTGATCAAACACTGGCATAGTTTCTATAAGCTCAAGGCCATGTCCCTAAAATGAAGAACCTAGCCCTGTTAAAATGCCTGCCTGAGAAAGACCAAAGAATTTACTGTCTTTTCCAGCCAAAAACTACTGCAGGCCCTGACTCTCTTTCCCTAGAACATGTACTTGAGAAATTTGAAATTATAAATCCTTTCTTTGTTTTTTTGAAATGTTACCTTCCCTAACCCAGGAGTGTCTCTCTCAGACCTGGGAGCAATCCCTTTGAAATGTAATCAATCAAGAAAGATAGGGCTCATGTCTGCCAGACCCTAGGAAAAGTAGGAACCTAACTGATTAGTATCAGGTAAAAAAACACATATGCCCTATTACACTGACCAACCTCACCCCCACCCCAAAAGTTCCTCGGTACTTTCCTTTTAGTACACTCTGCCTTTTGTTTCAATGTGTTGAACTCAATTTATCTGAAGTCTCCTCTACTGTGATAGCCTGAATATCTTAAACAAAAATAAATAAACAAACACATAAATTAATTAATTAAATAAAAAAATATCTGACTATATTTCTCTTTGGTCTCATAAAAAAAAGATTGAAATTGTACAGCAGGGTGAAAAAATTAAATCTCAGGAGTAACAGGGAAAAGAAGAAATGGAGGTAGGACCAAGAAAATGAATCTCTACTATTTGGTCAACTCATCTGATTTTTAATTCAGATGTATTTATTCACATGTACAAGGTGAAAGTGGAAACATCTAGAGAAAGGGCAAGGAAAGACAAGATGTGAGTTGGGTATGGATGAAAGCCATTTTATGCGGGCTTATATTTTCAAATGGGCTAATCAGAAAACACCTCAAGGTATATTGAATAATTTTCTTAAAAAATACTGTAAACAATGATTAAAAACAATAAGTGGGTCTTAAAATATTTTATGGTTTGAGGAGTTTGTGAAAGGTTGATACTGTGGGCTCATGGTGAAGGGCAGAACTTGCTAGACCATGTAGACAGCCTAGAATCCTAAGTGTAATGCTGAGACTTTATGTTGTCACAGTTCTCTATAGAAACTGCCATGTCATCAAGTTGAAGTTCTAGTACCAGCTGGCAGTTAAGGCTTTAGGAGAGTATGGAGGGTTGAGGAAAGACGTAACATCTTGAAGCAGAGTGGAAGAGTCATCACAACATCTAAAACAACAAGAAAATATCATCTAAAGATCCCACGCAATAGCCTACTCTCATACTACAAAGGTAGGGGCATATTCTGACTTATTTTTTAAAAATTTTTTTAATTAAAAAAATTTTTTTTGGTATGGGGGATTGAACCTACGGATGGTTTACCACTGAGCTGCATCTCAAATCATTTCTATTTTTATTCTGAGACAGGGTCTCAATTAAATTGGTGAGGCTGGCCTGAAACTTCAATCCTCCTGCCTCACCCTCCCAAATTGCTGGGATCAAAGCATTCGTCTCCACACCCAGCTCTTCTGACTTCTTTTGATTAGCTAAGAGGGAATCTTAAAGGGAGAGGTGAAACCACAAAAGCTACTAATATAGCTTCCAGCTTTGTTTTCACAAATTTTATTTGGGATACTCAGAAAAGTGTTTGGGGGCGCATCTCCCTTCAGGGTGGCATATTTTCAACCAAAGATCCAAGAAGTCTTATATATCAAATATTTCTATTTAAACATAAATCCAAAGATCTTTTGCCACATAACTCGTGACACTCTAGTAAAAAACTCAAAAGAGAAGTAAGCTAAAATGTGAAAAAAAAATTCTTTTAAAGACTGGTGGTGATGGGCTCGGGCTGGGGCTCAGCAGTTGAGCCCTTACCTAGCACACACAAGATGCTGGGTTCCATCCTCAGCACCACATAAAAATAAATAAAATAAAGATATTGTGTCCAACTACAACTAAAAAAAAAATATTTAAAAAAATGACTGGTGATGATTCTGTATGTTAAAAACTGCAGTCCTCCACCAAATTGGTAACTAAGGTGGTAAGTTTATTCTGGAGGTCTAATAAGAAAAGGAAAGATACAGGTGACTTTGAAGGTCTGTGAACTGGAGAAAATGTGAGAGAAATACGTGGACCTTTCCAGAGATAATGAAAAACATTTTGTCCAACAATAGGCAACCAGATGTGTATTTAATGTGAAAGGTTACTGAGTTTGCCTGTGTACCTTGCCTTTACTTAGGTTGCTATAGCATCAGGCATTGTGACCTAATAAACACTGATGTCATACCCCAGGGTCAAAACCAGCAGGGAAAAGCCTGGCCCCTCAGTCTGGTCCAACAGCTGACCGGGGGTGGCAGCCAGGTGCAGGTGCCCAAGAACTTGGCACTGCCCAGTTCCATCTAAAGGGGCACATCTCCCTTCGGGGTGGCACATTTTCGGCCAAAGGTCCAAGAAGTCTTATATATCAAGGTAACAACGAGTTCATAAATTTTATTTATTTATTTTTTTAAGAATTTGATCTAAAACTGTATTCAAATCAAATGAGGAACCTCTGTGCTTTCCTCTCTCTTTTTCTAGGCTAGTGTTCACTAGCTTTTGAATAAGAGAAACTTCCTCTTCCAAGGGTGTGGGAAAACTTTTTCTATAACTTTTTCAAGGTTTCATGGTGAATCTCCAAGGGAAAGTTCAAGAAGATCTTGGGAGTTTGGCCATGATGGTAAGAGGTAGAAATATAGTATTATCACGTGAAAAGATAGCCATTAGAGAAGAGCTGTTAAGAAAATATTTGGGCTAGAGGGAAAATGAGGGAGGAGAAGGAAAAGAGGGGAGGAGGGAGGGAGAGAAAGAGGGGGAGGGGGGAGAGGGAAGGAGGGAGAGAAGAGAGATGAGGAGGGAGGGGAAAAGTGATGGGGGAAAGGAGGGAGGAGGGGAGAGGGAAGGAGGGAAGAAGAGGATGTAAAACTGTTTTAAGAGCTAGCGGGAAAAGGAACTCTAAATTCTGAAGGAAGCTTTGTCTTGAACTTTTAAAAAGAAATCATTCAAGCCCCCAATACCAAATCTACTGAGTTCTTAATTGGTCTTCCATAGCAACAGATCCACCACTGTCTTCTGCCATTTTCTCCTTATGTTTAGCTCCAATCTGGGTTGGGAGGTGGGGTGGGCAGTTCAAAGAAGCTAATAGAGATTATTTTTTCTTTCTAAAAAGAAATTACACTTGATTCTTCCCCACTGCTCACCCTCTCCCCACCCCCCAATTCCTAGCCTAAACCTTTTTGAAAAGGAGATATGTTTCAGAACCCTTTCCAGAGATTCTTATTGAGCAGACCCTGTTTCTAAAAACTAAGCATCTCATTATTTCTTTTATTTTCCCTTCCAGATGTCTGATGATATTGACTGGTTACACAGCCGCAGAGGTGTCTGCAAGGTAGATCTCTACAGCCCAACAGGACGTAAAGATCAGGACCGAAAAGTGGTAAGATACAAAACCATTCCCACCAAGGAGCAGAAAACAATTGGTGTATGGGTATTCCAGATTCATTGGAACCCAAGGTAAACTCATGGAAGCTGATGCTGTGACTTCTCTATGAATCCAAGCTCAGTAAGGTCTTTCAGGGGACAGTATATATATATATATATATATTACACAAAGATGAATCTGGAGGAAAAGAATTAAGAGTAAAGTAAGAGAGCTAAGGAGGGAGGCCAAGGAGGGGCCTGGGGAATAGGGAAGAGTAGTAGTTGCCTAGTAACCAGCCTCTATTACCTAAGACCTCTTAAGTCATAATGTTGCCTAGTTTCCAATGAATTACACTAGAGCCTCTCAGGAGGGGAAAACATTTCAAATACTTTTGACTCTGTTTCCCAAATTCAACTGATTTGCATAGTATTTCACATTATTTATTATGTCAAATATCACTCATACTATCTACTTAATATATGTTCTTTGTGATGTTCTAAAAATTGATTTATACTTTTAAAATGACCAGTACCTTAAGCAACGTTAACCATAGTATCACAGATTTGAGGTTCAAGTACAATGTACCTATTCAGCACAGAAATGTTTGTCCATGTACTACCTAAAATCTTTGATATCATCAGTAGTAAAAATATCACATTTTGAGAAATACTGGTATGGTAGAAAGTGCCCTACGTAAGCAGCCAGGGAAATGGAGTTCTCTGTCATTGAGTTTATGTCAGTTGGGCAAGACACTTCTCAGTTTTCTCAATTAATATATGAAGATATTGTCCTTTGGGCTTGTGGTAGGTTAATATTCTCATTTAGGAAATATGGGAGTTAAGGAAATATAGTGTTAAGATTCTGTTTACATAGTAATAGCCACAATATTAATGTTTATTGAGTATTTACTTTGTGCCATATTCTGCTAAAAGCTTTATACACAAGATCTCAGTTATTCCTCACAAGAATTTGAAGGTAAGTGTCATTATTATCTCCAAGAAAGAGTAATTATGGCATTTTCACTAGAGTTTATCTAAATCCATCCTCCTAATTTGATGCAGATATGCTTTGTGGATGTGTCCACCCTGAATGTGGAAGATAAAGATTCCAAGGTGAGTATTTTCTTCTGCTCAGAGTTGAAGAGGTTGAGAAAATACTAAGAAGAGTTATCAGTGAAGTATGAGGAAAGAGATTGTGGCAGAGAGTGGAAAGGTGGAGGCGACCCAAATGAAATGCTATCATTCTCATGAACCTAGGCTCCCCAGTTTGGAATTTATTGTCACTCTTGATAACCAAACCTCATTTTAGAAGCCACTTGTTTTTTTTTTTTAAAACAAAACCTGTCAATAATGGTGGTGACTAATAGAATATGGCTCTTGAGACTAATGGCCTGTGAGAATCTTCACAGAGAGAATAAGTAATTTGTGGAAGGAACTTGGTCTCATTCTTCAAAGACTAGCTAGCATTATAAACTTACTTCTCTTACAAAAAAGGATAAAGGGATATGACATGATTTAAATGGTAACCTAAGGGAACAGCTTAAAGAGGTCTCAAAAGGCAACTGTTGCCAGGCTCGGTGGGGCACCCTTGTAATCCCAGTGGCTCGGGAGGCTGAGGCAGGAGGATCACGAGTTCAAAGCCAGCCTCAGCAATTTAGTGAGGCTCTAAGCAACTCAGTGAGACCCTGTCTCTAAATAAAATATAAAAAGGGGCTGGGGGTGTGGCTCAGTGGTTAAGCACCTCTGGGTTCAATCCCCAGTGTCCCCTCCAAAAAGGTAACTGTTCATTAAGAATTTCACCCTTTAATTCCATAGGGTGCTGCTGGTTGCAGCTCAGAAGGTGACTTAAACCTGGAGAGTCTGGAAGAAAAGGAGATTATCGTGATCAAGGACACTGAAAAACAAGACCAATCTAAGGTAGAGTTAGGCTCTGAGATTCCACCATTCTTAATTCCTACAGCCCAATATTGAGTCTGAGGACTCTGGTTTAGAGATGGTGAGCAAACTACTGTCCAATATACTCATCAATTTGAATACTATGACATTCCAGAGAACACAGGACAAGTTCAGGGCTATGGTAAGTTCAATACCTAGATACTTAACAGCCTTCATCAATCATAGAGGCTCAGAATACCGTCTCCTGATTTGTAGGTACCTACTCCAAACATAATCTTTCCATTCTTATCTGAGCAAAGATATGGGTTTATAAACAATATCTTGTCATGTTCCATGATGATTTATTTGCAATGGACTTTTGTGTGTCCCACCTTGCTTAGCATTCAACAAGGAAGAAAAATGGATATGAGACAGAGAATTTATAACAACTAAGAATCTAAGGGCCTGGTCTCCACCCTATTGGCTAAAAGATTACCCATGCTCTGGAGGATAGCTTCAAGTTAGAAGCAGTTAGAACTGCATGCCAATGTTACACACGAAATCCATTTTGGGGTTTGGTTTGTTCGTTGTTTTTTGGTAAGGATTTCAAATTGTGTCTGTTGGACCTCCTAATTGAGAGAGGGAATTTGGAGCACACATATCACCCCTGCATTCCTACAAGTCTAGAGTGGTTAGTATTGGAATACGATATTTGGCTTTAGTGCTGAGGAGTCAAATGTTTCCTGTTCTGTGTCTCTAGGCTCATTTGTTAAAATGAAAACATTTCTGGTCCCAGACTAATTTGTTTTGAGGGGAGTGGCCCCCAAGGAAGAAAAACAAGTTAACATTCTAACAGGGTTTTCTCGGGGGCAGGGGGTGTCCAACTCCATTCTCAAGTCTTAAGAAAGGAATAAATTATACTTGGTGAACAGCCCATATTTCCTTCACACAGTATAGACTGCCTTGATTATAACTTAAGCTCCTTTTCAAAAAGCTGCCCTTATTATGACCTCACATTTCTAGGAATTCAGTGAAAAAAAGATGAAGCAAAGGAAAGGCAAGGGGGGGCAGCAGTAACTAAAGATGTGTACATAATATGTATATGCATATCCAAACAGGAACAGTCAGTCGCCCAGCAGAGATACTCTCATATGAATGTATATAAAGCAAAACATACACCAATATATACATTTTTTTTTAGAAAGAGTGAGAGAGGAGAGAGAGAGAGAGAGAGAGAGAATTTTAATATTTATTTTTCAGTTTTTGGCGGACACAACATCTTTGTTTGTATGTGGTGCTGAGGATCGAACCCGGGCCGCACGCATACCAGGCGAGCGCGCTACCGCTTGAGCCACATCCCCAGCCCCCAATATATACATTTTTATATATTTAAGTTTAATTAATCCAAGCAATGACATACATGTCTGGCTACATTTGACATTTACAAACCCACATATGCATTGATATAACACAATTAAATATACTGACTTATTCATAAACAAAGATTTAAACACATATACAACTGTGTACAGAGTCAGATGCAGTGGCATGGCCACGTGGAATACACATAAACATCCATATTCACATTTACACTCACACACATACACATCCAAGTCTGATCGAAACATAGTGACCATAAAAACTCAAGTATTGGTATAGACACAAATATATCCACATCGATGCAAATATTTATATATCCCTACACAATCATGCTGACATACAAACCTACAAACTTATACTAAGTGACACATATTCAGTAACACACTTTTATGCACTGATATGCACACTGACAGAAATGCAATGACATACTAATGTTATTCACATACATAATCCAATGCCAAACTATGATCAACACTGACACACAACATTGTCCAATTCTGACAATAGCACATAGATATAACATGAACTGATACCAAATTAATATACACAGTTGTTATATAATCACCTATTTACATATATTTCTATTTTGACACATTCATTATATTAATATTACTTATTGATGCACATATATACATTAATATGTGAATTTAGGCTTCACATCAATACATTTATAACTGCATGATACACAGTAATGAATTTATATTATAAACAAGTGGACTACTCAAATTGATACTATATTTAGAGATAAACTAACATACAAGTATTTTGACATTCACAGACACGTACAAATGTACTAATACACACATGGTGGCCTATAAAGTAGACAGAAACAGTGAACAATGATGTGAACACATTGTACACATTTTCACACACTAACAGTAGTCTGACACAATCTCAAATCTATTAGACGTTCACACACCTGAATTTCTCTATTGACCTGCATACACACACACACAATAGATATATTAACTCTTTTGGCAGGGAAGGAGGGTACCGGGGATTGAATCCAGAGATACTTTACCACTGAGCTACATCTCTAGTCCTTTTTTAAATTTTTTTTTTTTAATGTTGAGACAGGGTCTCACTAAGTTGCTGAGGCTCAACTTGAACTTGTGAATGTCCTCTTGCCTCAGCCTCTTGTGCCAGCTACATTAACACTTTATTTTTTTTGTATCAGGGATTGAACTCAGGAGCACCAAACCACTGAGCCACATCTCAAACCTTTTTTTTATTTTGAGACAAGGTCTCACTACGTACCTTAGGGCCTTGCTAAATTGTTGACACTGGTCCCAAACTTGTGATCCTCCTACCTCAGCCTCCTGAGTGGCTGGGATTGCAGGCCTGTGCCACCAAGCCCAGCTACATTGATGCATTTTTGACATATTGAGTCAAACACATAAACTCAGGAAACTGACAAACACATTCAACACACTTGTATATAGTTAAACATACAAATACATCTCCTCTGAGCTTTGGTTGCTGCCATTTGTGTTTGAATGAGTGTGTATTAATGGTTATAACTGGATGCTCTATTCTATGCAAATTCCACAAAATGAAACCCCTAATCAGTGCACTTTAGAAAACATAGCTTCTAAATAAAATAAGGCAAGAAAGTAGCCTACCCAAGTGCTTATGGATAGGTATTGTTCTTTTTTTAGACGGAGGGATCTGTATGCCTTTTCAAACAAGCCCCCTCTGATCCTATAAGTGTCCTCAATTGGCTCCTCAATGATCTCCAGAAGTATGCCTTGGGTTTTCAACATGCACTAAGCCCCTCAGCCTCTAGCTGTAAACATAAAGTAGGAGACATAGATGGCGAATATCACAAAATACCTTCTGAGAACTGTTACAGTGTCTACGCTGATCACGTGAACATGGATTACATGGCCAACAGACCCCAAAGCCTATGTCTAGAAACGGCAGCAGCCAAGAACACCAACAATAATCAAAGTCCTTCAACTCCTCCAGGCAAGTCCCCTAGCACTCAGAGGGCTGTTATTTCTCCTGATGGAGGAGAGTGTTCCATGGATGACCTTTCCTTCTATGTCAACCGACTCTCTTCCCTGGTAATCCAGATGGCCCGTAAAGAAATCAAGGAAAAATTGGAAGGTGGAAGCAAATGTCTTCACCATTTAATGTATCCACCCTCTGGAGACAAGGGGAAAAACAGTCCCCGTAGTGCTGTAAGCAAGATTGCTTCTGAAATGGCCCATGAAGCTGTAGAATTGACCTCAACAGAAATGCGTGGTCCTGGGGAAGAGGGCAAGGATGGCCGCAAAACCTTTCTGTACAGTGAGTTATGCAATAAAAACAAGAGTGGAGAAAAGCAGATGTGCCCAAGAGATAGTAAAGAATTTGCAGAATCCATCAGCAAGGGACTTATGGTTTATGCAAATCAGGTGGCATCTGACATGATGGTTTCTGTTATGAAAACTTTGAAAGTGCACAGCTGTGGGAAGCCAATTCCAGCCTGTGTGGTCCTGAAGAGGGTGTTATTAAAGCATACCAGAGAGATCGTGTCTGATCTGATTGATTCCTGCATGAAAAACCTGCATAATATCACTGGAGTACTGATGACCGACTCGGATTTTGTCTCCGCTGTCAAGAGGAACTTGTTCAACCACGGAAAACAAAATGCCGCTGATATAATGGAGGCCATGCTGAAGCGTCTGGTCAGCGCCCTTCTTGGTGAAAGGAGAGAAACAAAGTCTCAGAGTCTGTCATATGCATCTTTGAAAGCTGGATCACATGATCCCAAGTGCAAGAATCAGAGCCTGGAATTCTCAGCAATGAAAGCTGAGATGAAAGGAAAGGACAAAGGCAAAATAAAAACAGACCCTTGCAAGCCATTGACCAGTGCAGAGAAAGTCAGTGAACATATCCTCAAGGAGAGTCTGACCATGTGGAACCAGAAGCAAGGAAACCAGGGCAAGATGACTACCAAACTGTGTCCTGCCAAAGATGAAAAAAGGGAAAGAATTAGCCCTTCCACCGACTCACTGGCCAAGGACCTGATTGTATCTGCCCTTATGCTGATCCAATACCATCTAACCCAGCAAGCGAAGGGCAAAGATACATTAGAAGAGGAATGCCCTGGATCTTCTCTGAATTATATGGCTCAGAGTGCCCAATATGAAAAGTCTGGAGGAGGTCAAAGTGCAAAAACACTCTCAATGAAACATCTTGAATCTCGTGGAGCTCCTGGACCGTCTTGTGTGAAGGAAAATCAACAACTGGACTCCCAGAAGCTTGACATGTCGAACATCGTCCTGTCGCTGATTCAGAAACTGCTCAATGAGAGCTCCTTCAGCTGTGATGACCTATGTGATGGTGAGAACAAACGTTCTGAACCCAGAAGCAAAACGCCTTCCATGTCCAAGAAAGGTGAGAGAGAAGACCCGAGCCAGGACAATCCAGAACTGGACTTTATGTGTGGGATGAAGCAAATGAACCGCCAGTTCATAGATCAACTGGTTGAATCTGTGATGAAGCTGTGCCTGATCATGGCCAAGTATAGCAACAACGGGGCAGCTCTTGCCGAGCTAGAAGAACAAGCGGCATTGGCCAGCAATCCCAACTTTGGCTCCAGATGTGGTTACGAAGCTGCAATGTCACAGACCTGTCAAGATTCTCCTGGGCCTGAAGTCATCGTTAACAACCAATGTTCTACAAGTAACTTGCAGAAGCAGCTCCAGGCTGTCTTGCAGTGGATTGCAGCTTCCCAGTTTAATGTGCCCATGCTTTATTTCATGGGAGACGATGATGGACAACTGGAGAAGGTAAGCCATGCATCAAAACACAAGAAGAAAGAGTGGGAAGAAGTAGGGAGGACTACATTCAGACATATACACATAACCCTCTCACTCTTTCTCTCCTTCCTCCCCCTCACACTGCAGTTGATTTTCCACATTAGATGGATTCCAGAGAAATGAAACTCTTAGACAATTTATTTTCACTCCAGTCAAGCAATCTTTCCTTTACCCCATCCCCATCTCATACTATTTTAGGAAGGCAACCCCAAACCTTAACCTAGCAATCAGCACAGACTAATTTAGTGAACACAGTTGATTTTGATGTTGGTTTTGAAGCACAAAAAGAAAGCACATTTAGCATTTTGATCTATGCCATTAGAGAAGGCTCAAAGGAAAAGGAAAGGCATGTCATCAGCCTCCCATTATGTATCTGTTGCACATTTCCATCCTAGAATCAAGTTTCATTGTAGAATCATGTGGGGACTAGATGTGAATTCATTTTATCCAGCAGAGGTCATTCCTCCATAAAACATCAGATGACTCAAGCTATCCCTGCTCTCTCCACAGCTTCCTGAAGTTTCTGCCAAGGCAGCAGAAAAGGGGTACAGCGTAGGTGATCTTCTTCAGGAGGTCATGAAGTTTGCCAAGGAACGACAACTGGATGAAGCCGTGGGTAACATGGCTAGAAAACAACTGCTAGACTGGCTTCTCGCTAACCTGTAGGCTAACAACTCCTCGGACTCCTCTCCATCTTACTCCAACCCCCACCCTGCCCCAGTAGCATTACAACCCAGCTTAAGCCACCCCACCATCTGGCTAGTAAACTGCACCATACATGACTGTAATTCCCAACACATCTGAGCAGTTACACTGTACAAATACAGGGTGCCCTTGCTGGGCAAGAACATGAATTAAAAAAAGTCAAAAAAAGTGTCATCATTCTCGTGATCAAATATATCTAAGGCAAGGGAAGGAAATGGGTTTAATTTCCAGAAGTGGTGATACAGCATTGGGCTTATGTCCAAATTTCATTCTGGGATATTTTCTGTGCACTTATGACAAAAGGATATAACCCTGATCAAGTCCCTAAGTAATCTGGTTTGTCTAAATCCTCTCAATTCACAGTCTACTTAGAATTTTGCCATAGTGGCCTCACTGTTTCTCTCAAAATTGCACCTATTGTGATAATCACCTTTGCAATCTCAAAAGGCAGAGTTTTCTTAAGAGTGTACAGATGGGGGTTGGAATGTAGCTCAGTGGTAAAGCACTTGCCTCATGTACAAAGGTCCTGGGTTCCATCCACAGTGTCAAAAAGGAAAAAAGACAAAAAAAAGTACAGATGGGCTAGCTTAGATGAAAAACAAGGCAAAGAAAGTGTTATCCATGAACATTGTCCTACCTTGCCACAAAGACACACCCCAGTGTTTAATGTACCTGGCACTAAGTACTACCCAGAACAATAATGGGAGCCCATGTATGAGTAAGGATAAGAAATGCCCTTCAATAAATGAGATTTCCTTCTACCAGTATGAAAGATGAATTTTCTAAAAACATAAAGCTATAGGATGGAAAACTCTGGGTGAATTTTGATGTCCCAAAGCCCCTTTGGGATTAGCACTCTGTTCCTAGATGTGCTCTATGCTTCCCAGGAGTCATTAGTGATGCTAGGGTTCATGGCAGATCAGACCAAGACAGTGATTTCAATCCTGTGGCCCTCTGTTAGCCTGTCAATTGCTGTCATAGCATATCTTGGCACCTTGAGGTGCTGTGGTTTAGTAGAAAAAGCACAGAATGTGGTGTCCCTCTGAATTGAACCATCAAAGATTTGCCTCTTACTAGCTGCAAGGCCTTAGGCCATCCTACCATTTGGGGCCTGTATCCTCATCTGTAAAATGTAGCTAAAAATTACTCTCTCACTCTTTGGGTGTTCCCCTGCAGGAATCAATGAGATGGTGTTCTGGGCAGGGTAGATTTCGTTACAAATATAGAAATGTGAAGGAAGCTGTGCCTTTCAAAGCCTGTCCTAACGCAATTGGGAGTGCTCTCTTGATTTTCAGAACTGAAAGATCATCAGAGCAGGGGATCCAGAGAGTTCCTTTTTGGAGAAGAGGCACACAGGTAAAGTTTGACAACTTCACAATGCCTGGGCCAGTCAGGAAAAAAAAAAGGCAGGTCCATTTAAAACAGAACCTTTCAAACTCTCCAGTCCAGCTGAAAACTAATCAAACCCTTTTCAATCCTACCCTACCCCAGTGCAAAACTTTGGAGTTGAGCCAACACAGATCCTTTTCTTTGCCCTTGAAGAAAATCCTTAATAAACAAATCCAGAGGCCAGGACTGCATTTCTAATGACTCAGTCCTTCCCAAGCACAGCTGGGTCCCATAGTAGTTTACTTCCTTGATTAACTTGGCTCCTACCTTGCTCCTGATTTCTGTTATGAAATAGCCTTGGGGATTCCTTAGAATGTGCAAATAGAGCAAAGGAAGTTATATGTTCTGTTAAATGAGGGGGGTTGGAGCAAGATGGTTTCTAAGGACCCTTCAGTTCTGACATCTGAGGATTAGAAGAACAAGGCTCTTTTCCATAATTTCTTTGGAAAACTTGGATGAGGTAAGTTTAGGGTGAGGAAACTTGATTTTTGCCAGAGCTAACTGATAGATTCCAGCAGAGAAAGGAATGCTTTGGGCTACAGGGCCCCTGACAAGGGTCTGGAGGAACTCAATAGTCCTTGGGGTGTATTCCTGGAGAGTGAGACCCTGACCTTTGACCTCTGTAAATGAGAAGCAATCCCAGGCACCCCAATGGCAATGTGGCCATGCTCAATGCCAGCAGTTGGAAATAGACAAGGACTTAATGCTGAACTGAGACCCCTGCATATAGTAGGAAAGGGAATACAGGAGGAGAAAGGAGAAACATGATTCTCTCCTGGCAGGCAATATAATTGGTTTGATGTATCTTGACAGTTTCAGGCTCTCTGACATCAGGCCTCCATTTCAGAAGGAAAATGTGTGAAGAACTTGTCTGGGAGGTCATCGTAGAGCCAGAACTAGAGTGGGGTGAGGAAAGGGAGATACTTTTGGCCTCAGGGGCCCAAACCCTCAGCAATAAAAAATATTTCAACACAATATTTTAAAAATTTGAAATGCCAAAACCCCCACAATGAACAAAATTAAGTTTTAAGGCTAGGGGTATGGCTCAGTGGTAGGGTGCTTGGCTAGCATGTGTGAGGCCCTGGGTTCCATCCCCAGCACCACAGGAAAAATAATTTAATACAGTAAAAGTGCCATACCAGACCATAATATGGAGCATGAGGCAAAAGGAAACATTGGTAAGACTTATTTTATAAGATTAACACTTAATGGGAGGCTGCCAAGGCAGTATTTTAGAGAATATGTTACCCTGAAAGCCTGCCTATATCATTACAAAAAAGAAACTGTGCTGTCCATGCATAAAGAATTTAGGAAGGGCTCGGCACAGTGGTGCATGCCTATAATCCCAGCAGCTCTGGAGGCCAAGGCAGTCAGATCACAAGTTCAAAGCCAGCCTCAGCAACAGCAAGGTATTATGCAACTCAGTGAGACCCTGTTTCTACATAAAATACAAAATAGGGCTGGGGATGTGGCTCAGTGTTTGAGTGCCCTGGTACCCAAAAAAGAAAGAAAAAAGAACTTAGGAAGGGAATGAATAACAAGTTTAGGATTCAGGAAAATATTTTAAAAATATTTTTAGTTTCACATGGATACACAATACCTTTATTTTATTTTATTTTTATGTGGTGCTAAGGATTGAACCCAATGCCTCACATGTGCTAAGCAAGTGCTCTACCACTGAGCCACAACCCCAGCTCAGAAAATAAAAATTTGAAGCCAAGGAAAAACCAAACAGTGAAAGCAAAGTTTTACCTAAGTCTTAAAATATCAGGGGGGTGTTTCAGTGTTTTCTCTCTTGTTAAACATAAGAGGACATCTTTCCTAACAAAAGCTCTTCTTAGGTAAATTCCACACAAAATTGCCCTTGTTAAAATTCTATCTTAAAGTTGTTCTAATAACAAAAGAAGAAAAGTAAGCGAAAATATAGGAGAGGTAGAAATAAAAATGTAAGGCACATTCCCATAATCCCTGCAAATCAGGAAGCTGACACAGGAGGATTGTAAATTGGAGGCCAGCCTGGGCAACTTAGTGAGACCCTGTCTCAGAAAATAAAAAAGGCCTTGAAAGGTAGTGCAGTTTTAGAGCATCTATGGGTTCAATCCCCAGTACCAGAAAGAAATGTCACTTTTGTAAACGATGTATTTGTATATTCATGAAAATTGAATTCCCAAATAACAGAGGAAATAAATGAGTTTTGCAAAGGGACAAGATAGAAGATACTGGCAAACTACAAGAATTTGCTATCAACTTAAACAATCCCAGCTGCTTTCTCCCCAGTGACTCAGACATGTAAATTTTCAGCAGTTCCCCTTGACAACAATCTCTGCAGTGTCAGAACAGAAAATAAATGTAAAAGAACCTATTGAATTCCTATATCCTAGAACCACCATTGAAAGGGTAGTGCCAGATACTATCAGGTAATTTAGTCCTTTCAAAAATCTTATGAGTTGTTTTATGTTTGTTTGTCTTGTATACTAGGGATTGAATCCAGGGATGCTCTTCCATTGAGCTACATTCCCAGCCCTTTTATTTTAGACAGGGTCTAATTTGTTGAGGGTCTCGCTAAATTGCCCATTTTGGCTTTGAACTTGTGATCCCAAGTAGCTGGGATTACAGGCCTGCACCAATATGCCTCACCTTAATTAGGTGCTTCTTTGTAGGTGAGAATTTAGAAGTTTATGTTTAAAGGCCTTTCACAAGGCCATACAACCTACAGTAAGCAGTAAAGTTTGGCTCTGAATCCGGATGTGTCTCATATCAATATTCAGATCTTACCATTCTATTACACTGTCTTCCTACTAATCCAGATCTATGTTTATTGAACAAAACTGTAAAACGGGTATGTGAAAAATTAAGGGAAAGTGATAAGTAGAAAAATAGACCATGCTCCTGACTGGTAAAACTAAAATAAAACAACAATTTCTAATTCAACACATAGATCTTATTTGATAATCTCAAAGGATATCCCCCAAGATATTTATTACTTGCAAGGGGAAAAAATAACTTGATAATGGAGACACCCTTTAGGCACATCTTAGATAAACAATGTTAATACCACAAGTAAAGACCTATTGACATGCATCTTCTGATATGATGTGATAGGAATGGCTTATCACCTATGCATCATTCCTGCCCAAAACCATAACCCCAATTTGAATCATGAGAAACCATCAGACAAGCACAAAGTGAGGGATATTCGATATTCTACACAATACCTTGTGAATGGAATTGACTTTAAAGGTCATAAGGGAACAGTTTAGAGCGATAAAAATGTTCTATATATCTTGCTGGGTGCAGTAGTGTGTGCCCTGTAATCCCAGCGGCTCAGGAGGCTGAGACAGGAGAATCACAAGTTCAAAGCCAGCCTCAGCAGTGGTGAGGTGCTAAGGAACTAACTCAGTGAGACCCTGTGTCTAAGTAAAATACAAAATAGGGCTGAGGATGTGGCTCAGGGGTTGAGTACCCCTGAGTTCAATCCCTGGTACCAAAAAAAGAAAAGAAATATTCTATATATCTTCACAAGGGGAGTTGCCTAATAGGTATATGTATTTCTCAAAACTCATCAACTTGTA